TGAGAGTTTTACGTCACTGGTCGCACTTGCGAGCAGCCGCTGCATGCTTACAATTCATCAAAACTGTTCGAAAATACGGGAAATAAACTCCGTTTATCGGAACAGTGGCATCTTCCAAGTGAAATTTCGAATTTTTGTCAGTTTTTCAAATTTTTGTTCAGTATCCTTTTAACGTGCACCTAAACCTAAATACACAAGCCTCAATCATTTTTGCTTCCATCAAAAATGAGAAAGATTCAATCCACCGATGTGCATTTCAGCAGTCGAGGGCGATAACGACTAGGTCACCAGGACAGGTCTATTTCATCCAAACTGAACCAACAAAGAGGAAAGGAAAGGACAAGCAAACGCCATTTTTCGTTTCCTTTCAGCACAGTGCTTATTTGTCGAAAACTTTCTCTGTCTTTGTTCTGTGCATGGTGAAGTCCTCTTGCGAGGCAAGTTTACGAGCAGCTGCTGGTCACCCTTTCTGATGTCTTCTATGTCTGCAGATTTCTCAGTACTGCAGGAAAATGATGAAGCTGCAGTAGGGAATGGCAATTTGGTCTTCAAACACACTCAAGGTGTTGTGAAGTGGCCCCATGTGTGGCACAGGGCTTTTTTTCTAGGATAATGTTATTCACTTAGACCTCGGATCATTGGCACGCTTCGAAAGTCCACACCAAGAATGACATCTCTTGTGCAATGCTGTAGAACTACGCAGTTTGGGGGATATGTGCAGTTGAGACTCATTCTGTGTCTTGGAGTTTTCATAGGTGGTGGTCGCGACTGTATTCAGCTTTGTGGTGAGCAGTCCGCTGATTACCCAGTAGTCTGTTAGTGTCGACCAGAATGACGACGTTGGGACCATTAATAAGCATGCTGTTTGTCTTCTTGCATTATAGTTGAATTGTGGCATCTCATTACAGCTGCGACGGTTTGTTATATTGCTGCTACCTGGCTCTCCTGGCGGAAAAGTTTGGTCTTTATTCTTTCTTTATTCGAAGTATACCTGCAGCGCCCGAAGGCGTTATAGCAGGGGGGGTTACAGATTCGAAAGAAACAAATTTTCATTTACAGCAGACACTTGTACAGTTGTGAGCCCATTCCACTCATGTGTTATTCTGACAAAAAAAGATACCGTCCCAGGACTGGAATTTGCAAAAATTCCAGTCCTGGGACGGTATTCCCTCAGTTTAAAAGGATGATCAATTCGATTTGACAAATAATACGGCGTCTGTAAATACATATCCTTATTGATTCCAGTTTTATTATTAAATATTAGATATAAAAGTTTCAATCGCAATTTTATTCTACGCGATGAAAGCAGCTCCCAATTCAATTCTTGTTACATAGCAGTAGAGCTTTCCCGCCATTGATACCGTCCTAGGACGAACCTTGCCGCCCTGTTCTGTATTTTTTCAATCTTATCACTAAGATATACCTGCGCCGGATCCCACACAGCGCAGGCGTACTCTAAGACTGGTCGTACACACGTCAAACACGCACACTCTTTAAGTCACTGATGCGAACATCGTAAGTTACGCTGAATAAAATTTAACACCCTCGCAGCTTTCGCGACAACATAATCAACATGTACATTCCATGAACAGTCAGAAGAAAAGAACACACCCAGGTATTTGTAAGTTGTCTTTGTGGTAACTGGCACACCATTTATACAATATCTAAATTCGATCTTCTTTGTCTTCTTTGAAAAACAAAGGTTAATGCACTTATTAAAATTTAAAGACATTTTCCACGTTCAACACCAGTCATGAATACACACCAAGTCATTTTCAAGTTGGGAGGAATCCTGCTCACTCTTAATTTTCCGGTAGACTATACAGTCATATATAAAAGCCGGATAGACGATGAGATACCAACCGAAATATCATTGATATAAATTAAAAACAACAAAGGACCCAAAACGGAGCCCTGTGGCACACCTGATGTCACCTTAACATAACTAGATCCTTTTCCATTCAAAACAACACATTGGCGACGATGCTTTAAATAATTTTCTATCCAGATTATCACATTTAGGTCTAAATTAAATAACTTAAGTTTTTGCAAAAGGAGCGCATGCGAAACTCAATCAAAAGCTTTTTGGAAATCAAGAAAAATACAGTCAATTTGCCCATTTTCGTCAATACGAGAGGAGAAATCATGATAAAATTCAACCAACTGCGTGGTACAAGATAGTCCTTTACGGAATCCATGCTGATTTTCTATTAATAATTTGTGGTGCGTTATATGTCGCATTATTTCCTTGTACAAGATGTGCTCAAGTACTTTGCAGGCAATTGATGTTAATGAAATTGGTCTATAGTTGACAGCTTCCTTTTTGGGTCCACCTTTGTGGATCGGCACAACGTGGGCCATCTTCCAGTCATCTGGTAAGACACCAGTAGATAAGGACTTTGAGTAAATTAAATGAAGATACATGGAAACAGGAGAAGCACAATGTTTGTAAACACGCAGAGGAATGCCGTCAGGACCATTCGCTTTTGTTTCATCGAGATTACTGAGAAAGGCTTGAATGCCGTCCATGCTAAGCTCAATAGGCTGCATTAAGGGTACGGGATATACACATGGGATATCACAGTATTCATCAGTCTTTGGCGAAAATACCGAGCGAAAATATTCATTAAGGCAGTTCGCCTTGTCTATATCTTCCGAGAACACTTGATTATTATATTGGATTTCGTTAATACCGGTAGCATCCGACCCGCAACGTTTTAAGTACCGCCAGAACATTTTGGGATTTGTTTTCATTTCTTCGTTTAGCCTATTTAAGTAGCCCGCCTTCGCGTTTTTTGCCATAACTTTGTATTCATGCGTTAGGGCACCTAACCTGTCGAAGTGTTTTTTTGCCTTCGTTCTTTTGAAGCTACGGTATACTCGCTGCCTGTTTTTAATTATTTTTAATAACTGTGAGGTAACCCAAGGCTTCTTGCGGCTATTCATTCCACGAGGATGCACACTTGGTATGTAAATATCTATGAGTTCCATTACTTTACTTTTAAAAGCACACCACAATTCTTGTGTGGTAGAATATTTGGCAAGGCATTCGAAAACAGGCAGATGATTTGAAAGCGCATGTGACATCGCTGAGTAGTCACCTTTACCAAAAAGAAATACCTTCCTTGTAGGTTGCTTCTTTGGCTTGTTCTTTTCAAACCTAACACCCGCGACGACCGCGGTGTGATCACTTATACTCGGAACGTTATCCACAGAAGTTACAATAGTGGGGACATCACAAAACATCAAGTCTAGAATGTTGCCATTTCGGGTTGGCTGATGCACATACTGGTAGAGCCCGAAAACTTGCATTTACCTGTGTCCATGCGCTTCGAATTGTCAATGAATTTGCCCTGGCACTGCCAAGGGCTCCACCTTGCTGGTGTGTTAAGATTTCAATGCAATGTCCTCAGTGTTGCAAGGAACGGCCACCACGCTTATCAGTTGCTGTTTTCAGTTTTCCGAAACTGCTCTAAGAGAAAAAGGAAAAATAGACAACCACCAGCTTGTGGCCCAAAGCCACAAGGGAATCCGTATGAATTTCTGCACAAGTGGTTGTCTATTTTCCCTTTCTCAACCCTTTCGCTACCTTGCGGGTCTCCACAGAGCTCATTTGCATTTACCTGTGTCCATGTGCTTCGAGTTGTCAATGAATTTGCCCTGGCACTGCCAATTGCAAGTTCTCTGGTTAGCTCAATCGGCAGACCAACCGCCTCAGAAAGGTGTTGGTCCCAGGTTTGATTCCTGGACCAGAATGAATTTTTCGGCAACTAAGAAGCTTTCTTTTCCGAGAAATCCGTACAAATTTCTTTGTGTGTTCATGCCACAAACAGGTGGTCGTGTATTTTTGGATGGATCGATCGATATGGTTGTACCCTTTAGATCAGGAGGCGGCTAACACCACCTAGCAGTAATACTTTAACGCCATCTAGCCGTAAACTTCAAAGCCACCTTGCGAGTCTCCGCAGAACTCATTTGCATTCACTTCCGTCTAAATGAAGTTGGGCCACTGTTTGGTCAGCGTTGGGGAGAAAGGCAGTATCCTGGTAATGGTAAATACAACAGCTGCTGAGGTCTGCAATTGGAAGGTCGGCAGGTTCACATGCCATTCACCTGACTCGGGACATGGGGTGTGAAAGCCATCTTTCTTGCCTTCACAGTCCCATTGAATCACAGTCCCATTGTAGATTGTATCGCAATATACATAACTTGCCAAAGTCCGTTCCTATTTTCCCTTCACCATTACTCAGAACACAGAGCACATGCGTCTCAATGACCGCGCAGTGTTCATGTTCGTGCGGCGGATCATTTGGCGTTGTGCACAAATTTTGATTGCTGCCTTGCCCATATGATTCAGGTCATCATGGAGCTAGCAGCGAAGCAGTGTGGACAGGGTAACTAAGATTCTTTGTGTATACTGTGTTCCGAGTCCATGGTGCTACACATAGTGGGTAAAACAACTTCACACGAGATGTGGAAACATAACTTTCTAGTGATGAAGTAACGTCTGCACACACATTGTTCAATGTCTAGAGGTGCTTCCTAATCTATGCGCGCATAAGCTATATGCTCCGCTCCTCACACAGCTCTTTCATACATTTGAACGTGTCTGCGATGACCTCTGGCAAACGGTGCGTCCCCTGGTTCTTCTATATCCGATTTACACTTACTTCACGTGCGGCAGTCACATATTGGACAAATAGTTATTGCAACGTATGGCGTTGACGAGAAATGCTATGCTTGACTCGGTGTCTTCTGCTGCCGAGATCGCATCCTAGAGGTACGCGGTGTGATGCAAGTTATGTATAAAGGCCTTGCGGCAATCGATTGCTCTCCTTCCTTATGGTAGAATAATACAAAATATTGGACAATGAAAGATAGAGAGCTTACTAAATGCTAGCGTATTCTTTTTTCCGAGGCTGACAGCTAGTGCCGAGAAGGAGAGGAGAGCAAGGTTTTGCGCTGTTTGCGAGCCCTGGTGCCACGAATTGCTTACTCACGGACTCGAGTGAACTCGGAGACGACGGCGTCGAGCAGGTGCTCGGACATGGAGGCGAGCTGCAGCAGGAACGGGATGGCGGCCAGCTGTTCGCGCGTCGGGCTGGCCGCGAAGCTCTGCTGCATGAGGGACACGAGCGCGGCCCGGATGTCGGCCGCGTGCTGGCCGGCGAGGTGGCCCAGGATTCCGACGACCGAGGCGAGCTTTGGCACCCTCGCCCGGTCCCCGTCCTCGTCCTCGTGGCTCACGAAGTCCTTGAGGCCGCAAGCGAGCACGCGCGTGATGACAGTGTGCGGGAAGCAGGAGCCGATGTGCGCCACCACCCAGTCGAAGTGCGGCGAGTGCTGCACCGACGTCTCAAGCAGCGCGTCGATACACTTGTCCGGGTTCGTGTCGATTAGCGTCGACAGGCACTTGGTAGTGAGCTCGATGAGCGCGCGCGTCGGCGGGCACGCCATCCACATCTGCAGCACCTCGGCCAGCCCGGAGTGGACGATGCGCCGGTCGGCGTACTTGCGCGTCAGGTGGCCCAGCAGCTCGAGGGACCAGCCTGATATGATGGGCGCCCAGGCAGACAAGTTGCTCTCGATGAAGCCCGACAGCACGCCCTGCACGTCTTCCACGTCACGCTCCTCCACGCTGGGCACGCTCTCCTCGGAGTCGAGCCTCACGATGTGCCGACCCACGGCGTCGTCGAATAGGTTGTGCATGTACTCGAGCACGGCCTCGCGCGCCACGGGCAGCGTCCTGAGCAGCCGGATCGCTGCCTGGGCCACGTCCGAAGCCCGAATCTTGCTGTCGTAGCTGGAGGTGCCCGCAAGAAAAAGGCGCAAGTCGCTGAGCGCAGCATGGGTCCCGTCCGCGGCGTGCAACACGCTTGACATTCTACTCTTCGAACTTGGCTCCTCTGGCTCTCGCCGAGAACATACGCAGGCCAGTCAGGTGTTTTGTGACCAGCCGGCGTAGCGTGCGCACCACAAAACGTATACACCACAGTACACCAATACAGTACCACTAAGAGAAGGGACACTGTACCATAGAGTTTCTTCCTTTGCTTCCTTTTCTTCCTAGTTTCTATATATGCTACCTTTAGGTAGCATATATAGCTACTTGTATGCGTATATGCTACCTAAAGGTAGCATCACGACCTACTGTATTGTACTGACCTGCCCAGCGAGTGACTGCCGGCACGCCCTTTCTTGTACTGGCGCCTGCCGCTATGCGCTTTGTGGCGCTACAGCTTACCCCATCCGCACCGGTTGCTGACGGCCACCACGCTTTTTTTTTTTCTTTGTTGTTTGCTCATGCGACACTGGGAGAAAAGCAGCAATGTTTACGCGTGCATACACTCTGGACGATTAAAAAAATGAATGAAAGCCTCTTTTTAAATAAACTTAAAAGTATAATGACGATCTTTTGCCACCGTCTCCTCGTGCCGAGCTGCGCCAGAAGCGTGCAGGTAGGTGCAGTTTGTACACCAGCGAAGCGAGGTTTCTCGGTGCAAATGAATTACCACGATGGTGGTGTGCTGCGTGCCTTTCTGCGAATCAAGGCAAGGGAAGACTTCTGACGTCACTTTTCATGAGTTTCCAGTGACCGAGGTTGGTGAAAAATGGAGCGAGGTGATTTCTAGAAAGGGTAAGTCTGCTCAATTAGGCGTTGTCTGGCATGCTGAAAATATAATAGGTTGTAAATGACTACGCGTCTTTAAAATAGTGAGTTGCCGGGCTGGTTGGTGGTGCATGACAGACTAAGACGCATAATAGCGCAAAAAATAAATAAACAACAACCTCAAGTAAGTAAATGACGACGTGCTATACTCACAACTTTTTATTAGCAAAAAAAAAAAAGATGACAAGAGTGCACATATGGAAGCCATGTCACTACATGTGGTTATGCAACTAGGTTTTCAAACACACCCATTGTGGGAAGAAGCAGCTTCTTCGAGATTGCTTCAGTAGTTTAATTACATTACCAAAAAGAGCAGAGATCGTTGATAAGTGAGTATTTATCCTCTGTCGCTTAATTAGTTTGACCTCGAACTTGAATTTATGTGCTACCACGTCTGATATAAACGTGTTAGTTTACCCATCTACGTGCATGCATGACAAAAGGACATATACGTGAAAACTTTTCTCCTAATGAAAAGTTATGCGTAGCGTGTGTCCATGTCTTCTTTCTTGTGGTGATCCGTTTTATTTAGTGCTAATGTATCTCAGCCAGTTACCTGTGTCACATGATTAACGAAGTGAAGTCATACGCTCACTTCATATGGCTGTGTTTTATTCACTTCGCCACCATCGTATAAACTTCTAATTGCATGATATGCTCCTTAGAAAAGAACAAGAAATTTTGTATTTCATTCAAAACATTTCACTGAATGTTCATCTTCTTCCTTTCAAGGTGCTGGCAATGAAGTTTGGCTCCCAAATGACAGGTCGAAGGTGTGCAGTGTGCACTTTGCTCCAACCAACTATAAGCCGGGACTAAAGATAAAAAGACTGAAAGCGGATGCTGTGCCGTCAGTGTTTCCACACTACCCAAAGTACATGGGGCCGCCCGTGGCAAAAGTCCGCCGCACCTTGAAACGTTCAAATGTTCAAGAACATGGACCCTGCCCAAGGAAAAACGAGTGACTAACAATGTTTAATGCTTGGCGTCTCCTCACGGCTCTAACATACAAACTGGACCAATGAAAGCGAATTTCAAGGAAAGGCGTATAACAGAACGCAATTTTTTAATGCAGGAAGAAAACAGGTTTAGCCTTAGACACAGCAGAACTTGACATCGAGCGACATGTCATCAGTACCATCCGCAAACACAACTGCAAGACCATCCTCAGACTTTATGCACCATTTACCGAATTTGAACGCACAAAACCACCTGAAACTGCACCTGGCGACAAAGTAAAAAAAAAAGACCAACGCTCCTTGACCACGCAAACATTTATAACCAGCCAGAAGATGCGCCGTGTGATGACTTCTGCAAAATCATCGTGCCCGAAATGCCAAACCATGGCAAGGAATAATGCTGAATTAAAAGCGCAATAGCCAAGCTGAACCGTGAAGTTGCAGAGGTTAATATTCTCTCCAAAAGAGCAAATGCTGTGGTCTTGCAGGTAAAATTGTTTGCTGTTGTTATTTGCTGTTGGTGCTGTTTCGTTTCAAAACAGTTGCAGAGTGTTTTTATTGATTATTCATGTACCTGCGATCTACATTTGCCATTTGATACGAAGGTGTTTATGCGCAAAATTCACTGTATTGGGTTGTTTTCTATGCGCGATGGATGCCGCGGCCACTGTCAAATGTCATAGTCCTTGCCCTTTCTTGTCCTGATAGTAAATTCAATCCAGCTGAGTGTGCGACAAGTCTACCAATGTATACACATACAGCCGGTATCATGAGGTAAATAAACATTTGGTGGGCCAGCACTTTTTACAACCTGTCTCTGTCATCATTCTTTCATCATTCTTTCACGCTGATACATGTGTTCGTATCTGATTTGCGGTCTTATTTGAAAAATAATGCACTGAAATGTCAACTAAAATGCAAAAAAGATTCTCAAAGTCCCATGAAATAAAAAGATTCAAGATACGCGCCATATTTACTCAATGCGTGATGAAATTCTTCTCGAACCGGTGGTAACCCATGCATTTCCATGCATCCACCGGCGCTCAGGATGCATGAATGGATGGATGAATGGATGAATGGATGAATGGATGGATGGATGGATGGATGGATGGATGGATGGATGGATGGATGGATGGATGGATGGATGGATGGATGGATGGATGGATGGATGGATGGATGGATGGATGGATGGATGGATGGATGGATGGATGGATGGATGGATGGATGGATGGATGGATAGATGGATGGATGTGGCTGTACCCTTTAGATCGAGCGGCGGCTAATGCCACCTAACCTTAATACTTAGAAAACTAACAATTAGATTTTTCTTGTTTTCCCTTTCAATAGTAAAGTTGGACGGGTACTTTGCAGTGAAGGGTTTAATTTTCACTCGTGCCTCGACTTTAGCCACCAATCAGATAACCTCCTTTTAGTTAAGTCTACCCGCTTAAAGTCTATTTTGCCCTCCCTGTCCCTAAACCCCAGTGCTTTCAAGAACTCTGCGCCATCATTCTGAACTATAAGGTGAAGCCCTTTACAGAACATTATCAAGTGTTCGGCAGTTTCTTATTCCTCTCCACACGCACTGCATACCGTGTCTACCCCTTCGTATTTGGCCAGATATGTCTTGGTTCGCAATACTCCCGTCCTGGCCTCAAACAGTAGAGAACTACCCCGAGTATTGTCATAGATCCTTTCCTTGGCAATTTCCTGCTTAAAATTCGATATATCTTTAGTGCGGACTTCTTAATCATGCCAATTCTCCACATGTCAGTCTCAGCTTCTTTCATCTTCTTCCTAACCGATAATTCTTTTTGGTTTGGCCACCTGTTGTTTTCTAAGTATTTACCAGTCAATTTCCTGGTTCGCTTCCTCCATTTTGTATCGACACTCTTCATGTACAAGTAGCTGAAAACCTTCCTAGCCCAACGCTCCTCCCCCATTTCTCTCAATCACTTCTCAAATTTTATCTTGCTGCTAGCTTCCCTGCCCTCAAATGATGTCCATCCCATATCAACTTGCACTCCCTGATTTGGTGTATTCCCGTGAGCTCCAAAAGCAAGCCTACCTATTCCACGTTGCTTAATTTCTAATCTTGCTTGCACTTCTGATCTTATGCAAGGGACCGCATTGCCGAACGTCAGCCCAGGAACCATGACCCCTTCCCATATTCCTCTCATAACATCATACCTATTGTAATTCCACAGTGCCCTATTTTTCATCACTGCTGCATTCCTGTTACCTTTAGTCGTCACGTATATTTCGTGTTGCCTTAGGTACTCGGTCCAATTGCTTATCCATACACCCAGATATTTGTATTTATCTTTTATCTCTAGCATGACCTCCTGTATTCTAAGCTCACTACCTTCGTTATCATTAAAAATCATGACTGCTGATTTTTCTTTACTGAATCTAAAATTTAACCTATCTACCTCATTACTGCAGATGTCCACCAATCTATGCAAATCTTCCTTGTTGTCGGCCATTACCACTATATCATCTGCGTACATTAATGCTGGTAGTGCCTGATCAATCAGTTTTCCTTGTTTGACTAAAGAGAGGTTGAAGCCAAGTCCACTTCTCTCTAATTTGGCCTCTAATCCTTGTAGGTACATCATGAATAACAAGGGTGACAGAGGACACTCCAGCCTAAGCCCCCGTTTCACTTCTGTAGGCTCGGATACCTGTTTTACCCACTTTATAACTGCCTTGTTACCTTTAGAGATATCCTTCAAAAAATTAGGGGCTCCATCTTCCACACATAGTGTGTCCAGTATTCCCCACAAGTGTTCTTGAACCACGCTGTCGAACGCTCCCTTGATCTTCAAAAATGCTAGCAACTGGGGCCTGTGTTCCTTTTCTGCTATTTGGATGCACTGCGTCAGTGAGAACAGATTGTCTTCCAACCTCCTGTGTTTCTGAAACCCAATCTGCAGTTCCCCCAGCACCCCCTCATCCTCTTTTCTTTATAATCTGCATCGCCAGCCTGTAGACCACTGATGTCACTGTTATAGGACGGCAGTCGTTTATGTCATCTTTGTCCCCCTTTCATTTATAAATCATGCTCATTCTGCTAAGTTTCTATCCATCAGGGACTTCACCATCGATTATAGTTCTGCTCACTGCCTCTCTCAAAGTCTGTTTCGACTTCGGACCCAAAGTCTTTATCAGCATAATTTGAATGCCATCTGGGCCTTTTGATGTACTACTTGGAACCCTCTTCTCAGCCCTTTCCCACTCTCGTTGTGAAAATGGAGCCATTGTGCCACTTGATCTATCCCTGTCTATTGTGGTGCATAAGCGTGTATCCACACGACGGACCAAATCCGTCTTTTCCGCGGCGGACGGCGCGTCACGTGACCCCACGTCACGGATTTCCGCCATCCGTGCCGCGTCCGCGGACGTCGCGGACGGAAAATGCCACGCTCTTTTTCGCAAACGGATTCCCGCGGAAAAACACGACAAATTTAGCGGAGGACGCCAATACTAGTGTGGCAACAAGCGCT